TAGTAAGTGGCCAAGAGTAACTTTTGAGTAGTAGTTCAGATTTACCAACTTGGTAAAAGCTTACTATACAAAACTAAGTTTTTGTCAAGTTACACTTGTATTTTTAAAATGGACTCTTTTAACAAGGTTATGTTATTAAGTGTCTTTGCTACTTTGTCCTTTCTGGAATGTTACGTGAGTGTGAGTGTTAACTTGCCCGCATGATGCTATACAGTAAGGGTGCTTAATAAAGGTTTATCTTAGCCTATCTGCATTGGAAAGTAAATAGCTGCTTACGGGCACAGCTTTGCCCTCCACATCATCAACTTGCTTTAAGGATTTCCTTCAGACATTCTGGATTCACTCAGTTAATTTGTTCCAACAACTTCTTTAAACCTCAAACTTTCCATCCTTTGGGGTTTGATGCCTGGTCACTTCTCAGCTCTGAAATTTCACCAGTTACCCTAGGGCCCCTTCTATCTACTCCCTACTGGTTGCCTCTTTGCCAGTTCCATCTCTTAGGAAACTACTTTGTAAGTCAAAGTATGTCGCTTTTTATTAAAAAAACAAAAAACTGAGTCCTTTAAGAAATAACTCCATTGGTTCCTGAAGATTCTTAGCACCTCTAAGATGTTGGCACCTGGAGTTGGTTCACCTTAAAATGAGCTGTTGTTGTTGTCGTTGTGAAGTGCCATAGAATTGATTCCTACCCATAGCGACCCTGTATAGGGTTTCTGAGGAGCAGCTGGTGAGCTTGAACCGCCGACCTTACAGTTCGAACGGCTTTGTAGTCTGACGCATTAACTAGTAAAATCAGTATTTGAACTTTTTTTCTTCCCACCTCATGTATTTTTTCATGTTTGCACAGGCATAAGTTGACAATCCTCGCATGGAGACAGGTAGGTGAGCACCTATAATCTAAACTATTTGCAGTTGAAATTTACTTGCCCGGTGCTTCCAGTCCCTCCCAGAGCAAACTTTTTCTCCTCCTTGGTGTATTGTTTGACATAACTTCAGACACACTCATCAAAAAGACTGCAGGAATTCCACTTTAAAAGCCTACCTATAGCCAGATAAATGATTGTAGAAAGCAGTGTGCTGTGTTTGGTCACTTAAAAATAGACTTCAAAAAGCAAACAATTAAAAAAAAAGTTATTGTTATTGCTCTCTCCCCTTTATTTCCTATAATGAAAGAAGACGTCTGTATGTTTCATTTGGGAGTTCTCTTTCCATACAGTTCAGAAACTGGAACCTGCCACAGGCAGGATTATATATTTTTTTGATCTTGTGATTTCTGAGTACTTAGTCTTTGCGTGGGAAAGTTCCTTTTGTATAGTTATGCCATGAAAATTAAAACTCAAATCATGAGAAGCCACAAACGAGTGGGTATGGCTGTGTATAAGCAAGTATTCTTACTGAATCACTCTAGTTTTTGTTAGTAATGTATTGGAAATTTTAGCTGATTTAAATAATGGTAACAGAAGAGGAGTCCTGGTGTGGCGCTGTGAGTTAATGCACTGGACTGCAAATTTGGTTTGATCCGCAAGGTTGGCGGGTTCAAACTCACCAGCCATTCCTCAGAAACCCTATACAGGGTCGCTATGGGTCAGAATCGACTCGACAGCACTTAACAACACAATAATAGAGAAGAGGTGGTGTTTTATATGAAGTGTATCTTGAAAGTGACTTTGTTTTACACTCATTCTGCTTGTTTGTGGGGACTACCAAAGCTGCATGTCATAAATTTCCTTTTCTGAAGCGGCAAGGACACTTACTTCCCTATCCAAGGGGTGGCAGCAGAGCACACACCATACTCTCCAGTATACTTTTGAGCAACTTGTCGTTTATTGGGGAAAGTATCCAAAAGGTTATGTGTCAGACACCCAAAACAAAAATAACACTGGTTTTTGGAGGTGTTAGTCCACTGACTGCTGAGAGTGACTGTTTTAATAATGAAAGGACTGGATAGCCAACTTGTCTGTAAAGAAAACAGGGAGGACCTGTGATATTTTATCACTAAGAGAAATTTCTAGAGGGCAGGGTCTCATGTAGATGAAGTGTCTTTCCAGTACTGAGGAGAAAATGAGCAATGACGTGTGTTTGTTAACTTTCTTTTGCCATATTAATCTATGTTGCCAAGGACCTGGTTTCAGATTTTCAAACATTAAACATTTTTAGCTACAAAGCTGGCATAATGTTTTCTGTGCTTTCATTTGTTTCACTCACTGTGCCTGTTCCCCTTTCTTAGTAGTTACTTGGAACATAAGCCCATTTGACTTGATATTGTACTCAGCTTTCCAATCTCTCTCTTTCTTGCCAGCTTCTATTGAACTCTGGATATGTGAAATTATCTATTAAATTTGGCATATTGGACTGCTGTGACACTGTTTAAGCTCAGTAATTAGGGGAAAGTTGAGACTTCTTGGCAGCCTTCCCATTTACTCTTTTCTTTGCCCCTACTTGTTCTCCCATGACACTAATAATTATAGCTATTAAACATGCCATGACCCTCAAGGACCTGATCTATAAAGTAACCTCAGAAAGTAGCTTTATTACATTGTAGACTTATTAAGCATCAGGTAGAAACGGTTTGTAAAGTGACATCACATTTCTTAAGGTGCCTTGGCGCTCATACCAGTTCCTTTGCCTGCAAGATCATGTGTGTGCTCACACTTGTGTTTAATTTGCCAGTTGCTTTAATATATAAAATTTGTTGAAAGTTTTTTGATTTTTTTTACACAATAAGTTGACTTTTTTCTTAACTTACTATTTTGTGACAAAAATCAACACTTCTCAGGAAAACATAACTTACTGGCATTTCTAGAGTAAGCTATCTGGTTGAGAGAAATAAATACAAGAAATAACCCATTACATATTTTCTGTAGATACCTTTGTGTTTTCGCTTTAATGGCTTCATTGAGATGTGAATTAACTTACTTTCAAGCTTTGTCCAAGTTGTAGCACATATCATGAAGTACATTCTTTTTTTATGTTATGGTTAAATTTTATTAGATTGTGTGGCTACATCGCATTTTCTTTGAATAATCTGGTATTCATGTACACGTTTTTGTAGTGAGCATGTTTTCATTTTCTTGGCTGTATAGCTAGAAGTGGACTCTTTCAAAGTGGCTATGTCTTTGTTTCCATCAATGATAAAAAATTGCAGATTCTCCATCTCCTTACCAACACTTGTTATCTGTCTTTTTGATGATTATAGTCATACTAGTGGATGTGAAGTGATTTCTCATAATGGCTTAGTTTTTATTTTGCTGATGAGTAGTAATGTTGAGCATCTTTTTATCTTATGCTTTTTGGCCATCTGTTTATCTTTGGAGAAGTGTGTTGTGATCTTTCACCTTTTATTAAATTAGGTTATTTGTCTTACCGAGTTGTAGGGGTTCTTCACATATTCTAGATACAGGTTCCTTAGTGAACTATGATTTGCAAATATTTTGTATTCTATGTGTTATCTTTCTTGATGTGTCCTTTGAAGCACAAAAGAGTTGGGGATAATGGACAAAAACACATGTTTTTAAAAAACAGTGAACTTCCTGGATAATTTGGACACTTTATTAGGAAAAAAGAAATAAACTCAATATTGCTGAGTGTTTTTAATTTTTAACACAATTGCTTCAAATAGAGTTAGGAATAGTGAAATGAAGTGTTTAACTGATGGTGCTGATAAATACCTTGGTAGTAGTGTGCAGGTGAAAAGATACATTACTTACTTGGCTACCTAAAATGGGGGTAATAAAGGCTCAAGAGGGAGTATAGTTTAAAAGTGTGCAGGGAAAGATAGAGTCCACACTGAATAGTTTTTCATCTTGTCTGGATGGGTCTGGTGAAAAGAGATGGGGATAAGATTCTTATGATTCAATACTGAGTAATTGTTATAATGACAAATTGTGACTGTCACAGTTGTAAAGGTGTAGAAGTTTTGTAACAAAAACGGGAGAGTAGTTAATCTTAACAGTCTGGAATCAGAGGACCGTAGGACCAGCAAGGGAGAAGAGCACAAGTGAGATCCTATCCAGAGAAGCCGCAACACCAGAGATATAGGTGGAGAGAAGGAGAAGCTTAAGAACTCTAAATTCATGGAAACAGAGGGACTTGAGAGCTGGCCTTCGGGAGACAGTTTTGCAGAATGTGCCTTGGTGATGTAAATTGTTACATATGCCCGAGTGTTGTTGTTTTTAAAAAAACAACTAAAATGAATAGAGAGAAACACTGTTTAATTGATGATACATGGAGGGGATTATAATATTTGTAATGAAACAAAGTATATGATTTGTTGAATGTAAAACTAATGATGTGCCCTGTAAACTTTCACTCAATTCACAATAAAACCTTTTTAATTAAAAAAAAAAGTGGGGGAAAACAAAGATACGTTGCTAGCTTCCTTACTGTGTTTAATGAGAAAGACTAGTGCCTGCTCAAAAGAGTCATCGGTCATGTGTGTGTGAGAGAGAGATAGAGATTTTATAACTAATATTTGTATGCATTTCAAGGCTCTCCTTTTCCATTACTAAGGTACTTAGGATGCCAATCAATGATTACAGGTTTCTTGGTGTGTCTGGAATTTTAAGCAAAGTGAGGAATGTTGATGATAGTAAGTGCTGTTTCATTTGGAAAGATAAATTAGGGAGAAAATTCTGTCTGACAGATTCAAGAATTCTCATGCTTCACTTTATGTATCATCCTGCTATGATAACTTGCACTGAAGAGCCCACTAGATTATAAATCTTCACCGAGGATAGGACTTTCTGTCAGATACCAGCCTTTTGATGCTCCCTTACCAAAGCTCCTTACTTTATCCTTGTGAGTGAAGTATTCCCTAAGCATCCCGTCAAGTGCCTGTCTTCTTTATGTAGCCAATCCCCTTACTGCTTATTCAGATACTTGTTGAGCAGCTAACAGCACTGGTCATCTCATTCTTGCTCCCCTGACTAATGAAAAGCATGTAACTTAAACTATATTTATGTGGTTCTTGGCCCTCTAATGAGTTACTCTTTCTTCCACAGCAATGGCACAAGCATGATATCGTTGATCATTCCTCCCAAAGACCAGATATCACGAGTGGCAAAAATGTTAGCAGATGAATTTGGAACCGCATCTAATATTAAGTCACGAGTAAACCGCCTTTCAGTCCTGGGAGCCATTACATCTGTACAACAAAGACTCAAACTTTATAACAAAGGTAATCTGCAATTTGATAATATCCTTTCTCTACTTTGAAGTGTTTTTGTTGAAAGTTAAGTGGTATTTCCTACACTTTTTAAAGAGAGATAAATCCTACCTGAAGCATCTCAGGAAATTTCAAAATTAGGGAGAGAATTCTAACTGCAAGATTTAGAAATTCTTATGCTTTGAATTATGATATAGATGGGCAGGGATCATAAGCTGTGGAAACGTATTCTATTAATTCAGGAAAATTGGCTTTGGGTTTAAGTAGAGATATTGTTTATATTCTTTGCAGTACCTCCAAATGGTCTGGTTGTTTACTGTGGAACAATTGTAACAGAAGAAGGAAAGGAAAAGAAAGTCAACATTGACTTTGAGCCTTTCAAACCAATTAATACATCATTGTATTTGTGTGACAACAAATTCCATACAGAGGTAAGAAATTCAAACACAGAACATTTTCATTACCCCAAAAAGAAATACCCCATTTCCCCCGGCTACCCAAGACATAATTGACTATTACTACTTTACTCTTTGCCTGGGCGTTTCATATCAATGGAATCATAAATGTGATCTTTTGTGACTTTGTTCCCTTAGTATAAAGCTTATCTGTGTTGAAACATGCATCAAGACTTGATTCTTTTTTATGGCTGCATAAGCTGTTGTGTGGATATGCCACAATTTAATTTACCCATTCATCAGTTGATGGACATTTGTTTTGTGTCCCCTTTTTGGCTTCTCGGAATAGTGGTGGTATGAACATTTGTGTCCTGGGTTTTTGTGTGGATATGTGTTTTCATTTCTCTTCGGTATATACCTACGAGTGGATTGAATTGCTGGGTTATATGATGCCCTCTGTTTGCCCTTCTGAGAACTGCCAGAGGTTTCCAAAAGTGGCTGCACCATCATTTCCCACCAATGATGAAAGTTTTAATTTCTCCTTACCCTCACCAATTATCTGTCCTTTTTAAAATTATTATTTTAGCAATCTTAGTGGATGTGTGTGGTGGTTTCTCAGTGTTTTTGATCTGTGTTTTCCGAAAGACAAATGATGTTGAGCATCTTAATGTGCTCAGTGTGTTTATTGACCATTTATCTATCTTTGGAAACTCTTTATTCCAATCTTTTGCCCAGTATTAAGTCAGGTTGTCTTTTATTTTTATTATTATTATTATTATTATTATTGTTGTTGTTGAATTATATAAATCTCTTATCAGATGATATGTGCAAATATTTTTCTTCTATGCTGTGGGCTATCTTTTCACTTTCTTGATGGTGTCCTTTGAAGAATAAGATTTTAATTTTGAGGAAGTCCAGTTTATTTTTCTTTTCACATATGCTTTTGGTGAATCCTAGTATGGTGCTGTGGGGTAATCACTGGACTGGTAACTGCAAGGTCAGCAGTTTAAACATATCAGCCACTCTCAGAAACTGTATATATCTGAACTATTCTAGCTCTTACATATTTAGACCTATGATTATTATTGAATTGATGCTATTGAGGTATGGGCCCACCTTCATATTTTGAAGATGAATATGCCGTTCAGCCCCATTTTATGGAAGGGATATTCTTTTCCCACATTAAACTGACCTGTTAACCTTGTCAAAAACCAATTGAAGATGAACGAGATTGTTTATTTCTGGACTTCCTAATTAAATTTTTTACATGGTTTTAACTCCAGAATCCCAGGTCACTAGTACTAAAGTACTTGAGAAAAGCATGTTTTGCAAGGCATCTATTTGAATGAAGGTGTGCGTGTATGAGAAAACCTTGTGTTTGTATTGTAGGTGTGTAGAACTTTCTTAAGGAGTCCTGGTGGTGCTATTAGTTAGGCATTGGGCTATTAACCACAAGATCAACAGTTCAAACCAGCTGCCCATAAAATCTTCTTTGTCAGACCCTGGAGTGGGGAGAGTGGAAACTCACAGGGCTGTGCAGATGCAGGCTTGGCACTTGCACAACCCCAAGAGTGAGTGCTTCCTTAAATTTTGTAGCCTTAAGCATCTCCTTTGTGTTACGCTGGTCTTGGCCCTGTTGCTTAACAAAGGAGAGGTTTTCTTGAGTTTCAATCTACTTTTTTACTAATTTGTTCCTTCTCAGTTTGTGTTTAAACTGGAGAAAGCCCCATTATTGTGTTAGGGTTGTCAATATCCCATTCAAATCCCTAGGTGAAATAAGGGAGGAGGTCTTTGAAAGAAGTTTCAGTAAAAATGCCATTTGCTAGAACATTTTCTCCAACCAACTCTTTGGGAGAACCATGTTTCTGTGATCTTATTTAGTCTGACACCCATTAGTCAGCAGGTTTGAGGAGAGTGCTAAACTTGATTTTGGAGCACTAATTAGACACAAAGAAATGGCTACTTGATCACCATCTCTGTATACCTTTATTTCTTGTACCCTTGGTTTTTAGCTCATAAATAATAAATCTTTAATATGTTGTTAGTGTCATGAAGTCTTATGACTCGTAATGACCCTGTATGGGGTTTCCGAGGCAGTATCTGTGAGGAAGTTGAAAGTCTCCTCTTGCTCTCGTAGAGCAGCTATTGGGCTTAAACCATTGGTGTTGTTTGCAGTCCAGTGCTTATCCTACAAGAGTCACTGTGCTCCTAAATCCTTAATGTTGTTGTCAAGTACAGTCTGTTCAGTTCTGGCTCATGGCGACTCTGTATAGAGTTTCTGAGCAGTGGCTTGGTGAGTTTGAATAGCCAACCTTGCAGTTCAAACTGACTTTGTGGTTGAGCACTTATCCTACTGCACCACATCAGAATATAATCCATTTTCTTTGTTGTTGATTTTTGTTGGTTTTTTTCCTAACCAAACTTTTGAGTGACAGAGCCGCCATAAGGTGAACTTTAATGCTGGAAAGGAAGCCTCATTAGAGTGACCTAAATCAGTCAACAGTGAACAATTGGGAATTCATAGCTGACTCCTAGTTCAGTCTCTTGCCTTTCATCGACTTAGGGGAAAACTTCTACAGTGGAATTAGAACTGATATTTGACACAGTTTACAATGGATAATTTGTGCTGAATTAACAGAAATTTTGATTCCAGTTGGATTTTAGTCTACTACATAAAAGATTGAGGTTGTTTTTCTTTTGGCTACCACAACCTCTTCCTGATACAGGCTTCGTTGGAGACGCTCTTAGCTCCTCTGCTGCATTTATGTTTTATTGTGAATTATGTGATAGTTTACATGGGAGAGCATGAGCTTTACATTCATCCTATCGTATATTGTTTCATTGCCATGGTTGCAACCAGCCAGAGGGTATACCCTGCAAGCCTGCCCCTCTCTCTCTCTGGGTCTAGTGTCCCCAGCCACTCCATCTCTCCACGTCATCGTCTCTGCCTCCATCTCTGGCATCACTGCTTCTCTGCGTAGGGTCTTGCACTCCATCCACTCTTCTCCCTTGATGGGTCCAGGGACCTCTGCTCCTGAACTGCATAGTCAATCACTCCCCTCCTTTTGCTACAAAACGTCCACCTTTACATTTCCAACCCTTACATTCAGTCCTCATAACATTTATTCACCATTGTACCACACCTTCTCCTTTAATCAGCCCCGCTTAGACAGATTGGATACTACTCAGTGGAGAATCTACCTTTCTCCGCGCCCTCTGGATCTAGGCGCCCTCTTGAAAGCTTGCAAGCCAGTCACTTCTTGCCTTTGTAGGCTCCCTCCCCCGTTTTGGGTAGCCAATGTCCAAGTTGCCCATCCCTGTCTACTACTAGAAGACCTTTTTGTAGACTTTCTAGTGTGGTTTTTGTACTTATACTCTATAGAGTTGATTCATAAGATATTCTGACTTACTGTAGTGGATAGCACTGAAGGGTAGACTCAATTTGAATTTTATGCTCCATATAAACTATCAAATCAAGGACTAGAAAGAAATTGAGCACTATGATTTTGAATCAGGTTTGTATTTACTTACATGCCCTGGTCAGGTATAATGAAGGACTTTATATAAGTGACATCAGTTATTTTTCTGCAACTGGCTTGAGATCTCCATATTTATAGCTGTGACACATATAAATTATTTCACAAAGTGGTTTTGTCATAGTGCTTATGAATGGGTTGAGATGGCTTGTATGTATCCTTTTGGGGGGTTGTCTTGACCTTAGCAAAAAACCTTTGGGACTTACTGTACATATGTTCGCTTTTCAGGCTCTTACAGCACTACTTTCAGATGATAGCAAGTTTGGCTTCATTGTAATAGATGGCAGTGGTGCACTTTTTGGCACACTCCAAGGAAACACAAGAGAGGTCCTGCACAAATTCACTGTGGATCTTCCAAAGAAACACGGTAATATAGGAGGAGAACATGTGAACCCACTTGTGTTTAGTAATGATGAAACAAATACATAGGGGAAAGTAAGCCCAGATGATGTGAAGAGAGCATCATAGAATGACTCACGCATGAGTCAGTGATGTTTGTGGGTTTTCTCTTGACATCAGAATTGGTGGTCACTCTCTGAGAACAAGTAATAGTTTATGCTAAACATTTTTGTTAAGGGAATAATGATGTTTCCATTTAGCCTTTTCTTGGGTAACAGCATGGCTTGATTAACTTATCTTTTAATTAGGAAGCTCTCTTGTACTTAATAACTTTTTGTCTCGCCACTTTTTTGTGTCAAAGGTAGAGGAGGTCAGTCTGCCTTGCGTTTTGCCCGTTTAAGAATGGAAAAACGACATAATTATGTTCGGAAAGTAGCTGAGACTGCTGTGCAGCTGTTTATTTCTGGGGACAAAGTGAATGTGGCTGGCCTTGTTTTAGCTGGATCAGCTGACTTTAAAACTGAACTAAGTCAATCTGATATGTTTGATCAGGTAAGTGAGAAACAAGTGCTCCGTTCTCTGAATCTACATGGGAATAGGCAAGTGTGGCCTTTACAGTGGTGGATTCCTGTGTTAAAAACCTAGCTTTGGAGGATTTCCAGGTTTTTACTAGAAAATATTCCCCATGCTTTTGTAGCCATCTTTTCAATCAGCTGTTTTTAGGTAGGATCATTCTGAGCCCTGTGGAGGTCCCCTGGTTCCGTAGGTTGCTATAATTGACTTAAAAATGGAACTTGATTTCACGGAACGGAGAAAGAAAGTAGCTTTCCTGTCTTTTTCTGGTTTGTTCATGAAGCAGTGAGCCTCTTAGCACTATGACACAACTGATTAAGCCTAACGTGTTTAATACCAGAAAGATCTTGTGGTTTATGACAGTTTTAGCCATAACACATTCCCAGAGTGTTCATGTGGAGGAGGTGGCGTTATGTGGTAGAAGGCACATCATAGAAGAAGCTGTTACCTTATTTGGCAAGAGCCTTTCCTTTGCAGGAAAATTATTTTTGCTTGTGTTTAGTGTGGTATTTACTCACTGAAAGAGCAGTGCTTGAATAAATTGGGACTTCTTTCTCATATTCTCTCTTGTCAGTGACTGTGGTATGCTGGACTTCGCATGCCATTAAGAAGTAGTGGGTCTTGGCAGAGGTGTTTTTAATGTACTAATGAGACTTTCTCTTTTTTTTAAATTGTGGCAGAGGTTGCAATCAAAAGTTTTAAAATTAGTTGATATCTCCTATGGTGGTGAAAATGGATTCAACCAAGCTATTGAGTTATCTACTGAAGTCCTTTCCAACGTGAAGTTCATCCAAGAGAAGAAATTAATAGGTATCAGTGAAATGCAGCTAATTTATCCTGTGGATGTTTTTATGTCTATATGATTGTGTATGAAAGTGATGAATAAACAAGAGTAAGATGTAGCCTATATGCTAAAATCTTATCACTGTGTAGTGGCACAGTGGGTTAAGTGTTGGGCTACTAACCAAAAGGTCATCTGGCAGTCCAAGCCCAGCAACCAGCTGCTTAATGGGAGGAAGATGGGGCAGTTTGCTTCTTTAAAACTTATCGCTAACAGAAATCCTGAAGAGCAGTTCTACTCTGTCTTATAAGGGTCTGCTTTGAGTTGGAATCTACTTGATGGCAGTGGATTTATTTTGCTTTTTGGGGGGCGGGATGGGGGTAACAAAGATTAATGTGATTTTTATGTGTGTCTTTGTTTCTGATTTAACTGAACATACACTCATCTCAAATTGGTTGCACATTTAGTACTAACTTTTATCTCTTGGGAATCAGCTTTTGGAACTTCAAATAGTGGTATGGTTTTTCTCTGGTTTTGAGTATGAGACTCTTACCTGCATGAGAAACTTCAGTACATAAGTTCTTCTTGCCCTCTCTCTAATCACAGGACGATACTTTGATGAAATCAGCCAGGACACGGGAAAGTACTGTTTTGGAGTTGAAGATACACTAAAGGCTTTGGAAATGGGAGCTGTAGAGATTTTAATAGTCTATGAAAATCTGGATATAATGAGATATGTTCTTCATTGCCAAGGCACTGAAGGTATGAGAATTAGAAAAGAGGTTGTTATTTGTTACTGAACTGTGCATTCAGGATTACTAGGGTAGGAAAGGGAGGGTGGAGAGGAATGGCAGGTTTCTGGTTAATCAGGAGGTAGATAGATCTTACCCTTTGTTCCCCCCACTTCTTCAGTCTGGGTTTTTCTGCTCACACTATTAGATGTCTGCTTGTGATGTTAGTTGTTGTTGAACAGGCTCATGGTGACTATTGTCTAGTCCTGTTCCAGCTCCATGATCTTTGATATGTTTTCTGTCTTATTCATCTTAATGAGGGTTTCCCTCATTTTCACTGGCCCTCTACCAAATGTGATCCTTTTTAAATGATTGGTCTTTCTTGGTGACCTGTCCACAGTGAACAAGACATTTCACCATCTTCACTTCTAAGAAAGGATGCTTAAGATACTCAATTTCATGAGGTCCAGAACTGTACCATTAGTGACTGGTGTTTTCTTATGATAAGGAGCAGTGTGCTTGGTAGATAGCACACAGTGCACGCTGACTGACAAGCTTACAAAGGTTTCTAGGATGAGATCAGGAGCCCTCTCCCTAACCTTGTCTCATGGGGCTTACAATGCTTAATATGTAAGAACCAAGTTAACATGTTTTTCCCCCTAATACTACAGAGGAGAAAATTCTCTATCTAACTCCAGAACAAGAGAAGGATAAATCTCATTTCACAGACAAAGAGGTATGTGATTATTTTCTTGGTTTGGTGATATATGCAAGCAAACATAAATTTTATGTGTTCTAGCAGTGTAGGTAGAGTATATGCTTCGGTAAACCAAATAGCACATTTGTTGGGTGGTCGGTGGAAAGGGGCTTAACTCATGCTTATTGCAAACCCTTGAAGTTTTGAAGTACTGGAGTACTCATGTACTTGTGATGCTATAGTGTGAGCACTATACTGAACGTTGGCGGTTCAAACTCAACAGTTGCTCCTTGGAAACCATGTATAGGTTATATAGGTTCACTATAGTGTCACAACTGACTCAATGGCACTTGACAACAGTGTAGTAAACAAAGGACAAAGTATTTTCATCCTTTAGTAGGGAGAAAGGTCTGATTGAATAGTGCCTCTCTTCTGTTCTGCAGTCTCTCCACTAAAAATGGCTCCTCTGGGCTTAGCCTAAATGTATCAGTACAGATACATTTAAGTGGTTGGTTCCTCAAATTCTGAGTAAAAAGGGGCTTAACTCTAACTAGGCTACTTCAAAGAACAGTTCTGGCGTTCGTTCAAAGAGCTGCTTGAATGAGTAGTTACAGCCATCCTTACTATTAAGAGTCAACAACAGAAAGCTAAAGTTTAAATTTCATTGTGCTGATATTTAATAATTGAGGCTAGAGCTTTGAGGGTGGTACTGTTTGAAATAATCAGAATTTCTATACTGTTAAAATTATGTCACCAAAAACCAGAATTCACTGACAGTTTTACACACACATGCATGAGAATGGTGACTGGCATAGGAGTGAGCTAAATCTTGGGGTCTCCTAATCCTGTTGTTTATGTATCTCATGGTTATCTCTGCAGACAGGACAGGAACATGAGCTGATTGAAAGCATGCCCCTACTGGAATGGTTTGCTAACAACTACAAAAAATTTGGAGCTACGTTGGAAATTGTCACAGATAAGTCACAAGAAGGATCCCAGTTTGTGAAAGGATTTGGTGGAATTGGAGGTGAGTAGCAAGTCAAGGTGCTGAATTTAAACCAGGCCAAAAGCTCTGATGATCAAATGAGTTGCTTCAAATGAGAATTGCTTGCCATCTTTTAAACAGGCAGCACATGGCTTCAGAATTGGGGTTTTTTGGGTTTTTTTTAATGATCATTGGACTTTTTCATTAGAGCGACTCTTGGTTTGTTTTCCCAGGTATCTTGCGGTACCGAGTAGATTTCCAGGGAATGGAATACCAAGGAGGAGACGATGAATTTTTTGACCTTGATGACTACTAGGTAGTCGACATGGGTCCGGCAATACGTGCCTCACCCTCCAGCATCCAACCCAAGGAGCATACCCGTGGTGGAATCCAAACAGATCCCTGCCTTACAATTGGAACATTCTCAGAACTTAATCCATGAGCATTGGATATTGAAAAGAAAACCGAAACAAAACCAGACCCAACCCTACACTTTGGTTTGTCATGGTGTCAGCGAAGCAGCCTACAACTAAGTACCTAAATGCCACTATGGACTAATTTAACAGAGAATCCCAGTTTTTACTTTTACTCAATGGTGAAAATTGGTTGCTCTTGTATTTTATGGGGAAAAAAAATGATTTTTTTAACCTTCATACATAGAAGCAAAAATACTTTAACTGCTGTAAACCTTCAAAAGTTAATAGAAGTGACATCATACTGGTTTGTTTCTTATTTTGATTGGAGAAAAATTAAATTGCTGCATTTCGCAGTGACCCATTTACATGGCATTCTCAGCTTAGACTGCATAAGAAGAAATATAAGTGGTGAAATGTTGGAACCATTTCTCTCTTGGTCTCTGTTTAATGTTGAAAAGGTGAACTAATAGGAGACATTTTCAACTTCACTCCCTTAACACCCCTCCCCCTCCAGACTGCCAGTTTCAAGAATGCAAATTGCATTGCAAAGTCAAACTAACTCCTGAAGCAATTGGGCCAGTGCACTGTGTCTTTCCATCTGTTTACCGATGCATTTGTGCCCAGGTTTTGGGAGCCCTCAGCATCAATTGTTTTGACAAAGGTTCCTATCATTTTTGCCTACTAGAAACCAGTTTGGATGGGTATGATGCGGCTTCTGTGCTTCTGCTGGGATTGGGAGAAATAAAACATGCAATTTAAGTGGAAGCAAAGATTTAAAGAAACTTTTATTTTGCTTGGGTCTATCCTTGGTAAAAGGGAGGTGGTTGTGTTTTCCTTGTGTTGGATGGCATGAGATTATGTGAATGTTTTGATTTTAATAAAATGAACTACAAGGTTTTTCACAGGAACGATGACAAGACATGTATGACTGTGCATGTAATTATAAACCCCTGACCTCCTGGTGGGGTTGGAGCATCTGTTTCACATATGGGACTTACAAGCACCTCTCATATGAGAAATTATAGGAGTGGGTGGGAAGGGCAGGGGCGGGAAGGGATGGGACACAGCTTCTGGCACCAAGGATTAACCATGTTGGATCCAAAAGTGGGCCTGAAAACCCTGAAGTTTATGCTTCACAGCCGGGCTATAGATTGGGACTTGAACCCAGCTGATGTGCAAGGTCGAGGCGTGCCTGAAGTGGTGACAGTGAACAATGTGTAGGACGTGCCCAGTGGTAGCAATGGAAAAAGAAAAAAAAAAGCATACTAAATGGACTTTGAAGGACCAAAGGTTTCAAAAGTCGATTGGTATCACCCCCACGCTGACTAGGGTGGCCGTGGGTACATTTGGTTTTCAAATTGGGTACTTTTAACACGTAGTGCCTGACTGCTGATCTTCACTGACTTTTGACTCAGTCACTCGTAGCTTTATTGGTCTGAACCAGCTCCTTGTTCCCAGGTTACAGACCTGCCTATCTATCGTTCCAATAATCCTGTTTCACTTGAATGAAGGGAGTATGTTTTTAAATGTAAAGTTTCTGGTTCTCACACTGTACTCTGAGGTCCAAAATGACTGTCAATGTGTAACTTGATGTCTCAACCCCCAGTGAGGAGAGTCAATTCTTTCTTTGGTGTTCACCGACGGAGGCTTCACCAGAACAGGCTTTTGCTTTGGGCTCTGCTGTTTGTTTGCAGAAAACCCAAGAGCGAGCACACATGCTCTCTTCGCAGCAGTACCTTAGGGTTTGGCCATTGTAAATGGGTCTAATGTGATATGACAAGACCAGAGAAATTGGATGTAAATTTACAGTTTTTGAATATGCTTGTTATTTCACATGATACATTTAGGGTATGCAGCTCCTTTTGTAGTTTTTATTTTTACTATTTAAGTTTGGAAATGATGCCAAATTTTTGTATTTCTTTAATCAATGTGTTCTCTTCAGTGATATATATTGCATTATATATTGATGTGTGTATCAATATATACTGATATGTATTACACTTCCACATAAAAACACATAAGAGGGGTGGAAACCGTAGCCTTCGCATTCTCTAGAGCCTCTGCAGAAAGATCCTAAGCAGCAAAATCTTGGTGTTGTGATGTACAGAAATGGAGAAGAGTATTAAACCATATTTAAGAATATCCTTTGTGTGTTTGAGATTCTTTAGGGTTGCCTGGAAAGGCCTGCGCTGTGGAGACTGAGGCGTGTATATCAGTTTAGGGGCGGGTAACAAACCTCAGATTTGTGTTCTTTTTAACTACATTTGCCTATGAAAAGTGGGGTGGGGGTAATATGCAAAAGCCTATCAGAGGTCATGATCCCAAAATTAATGTGAGGGGAAGGAGTTTTAAGCTGCTGGCCCTATCCTAATTTGTATATGGAGTTGGGGGACTTCAAAAAAATTCATGGGGAAATCCCATTCTCTCCATTTTTCCACAAATTTTTGAAGCTCCTCCTTATGAGGGTAATAAGGCAAAACACATTATTGCTAGGATTTCAATTCATACATGCACCACTTTAATCCAAAACAAAGTGTTTAAACCTGTCTCCAATCAGTGGATGGCTGCAGACAGTTCTCAGTAAACAAAACATTTACCTAGTTGGTGTTAGTGGTTATGTGCCATGGAGTTGGCTCCAACTCAGCAAATCTCGTATAGGGTTTCTAAAGCTGTAGATCTTTACAGGAACAGAGACCCTTATCTTTCTTGTGCAGAACAGCTGGTAGTTTCAAACTGCTGACCTTGAGCTTAGCAGCCCAACTCATGATCACTATGCTACCAGAGCTCCTTTACCTAGTTGGGTGCCTTCAAAAAAAAAACCCGTGGCTTTCAAGCAGGCTTGCTGAAGAACTTTTTTCCTTCAAATATTCTTGTGCAATAAAGGTTTGGTGATGTGCCAGGGAGTCTGTTCCAACTCAGGGTTTCTGGGGCAGTAAATCTTTATGGGGAGCTGTGGTGTAGCACTGTGGGCTAATGAATCAGACTGCAAAATCGTTTGAACTGCAAGGTCAGTGGTTCAAGCTCACCAGCTGTTCCTTGGAAACTATACAGGGTTGCCATGGGTTGGAATTCACTCAACAGCATTTAGCAAATCTTTATGGGAGTAGAAAGCCTCATCTTTTTCTTGCTGAAAGACTGATAATTTTGAACTGCTGACTATGCTACCAGGTTTTATAGCAATACTTTTAAACTTAATCCTTGTATTCCACATGGACTCAAAAGGAAACTTGTGTTTTTTGAGGCATTTTGTTCTAGGTGATTCTCGGCATCCCAAGAAGGTAGTGATGTATCCCATTTTATAGGTGGTGATAACACAGACCAAAAGAGATTTGAGTTGCAGCTCTTGAGTAGCAAAGCCAGTTTTTTATCCCAGATGTGATATCAAAGTTGATTCTCTTTCCACACCTGATTGTCTTCAAGCCCTATAATAGAATGAATGGTTGTGGTGTGCTGTGGAGTTGATTCTGACTCATAGTCTGCATAGGGTTTCCGAGGCTGTAAATCTTCATAGGAGCAGAAAGCCTCATCTTTCTCCTACGTAACCACTGGTAGTTTCGAACTGCTGACTGTGAGGTTAGCAGCCCGACTCATAACCGCTACGCTACCAGAGCTCCTTTATAATAGAATAGGTAAAAGCAAAAACAAAGTCCCAGTCCTTTCCCTCCATGATCTTACTGATGTTTATTACATGTTAAGTGCTGTCCAGTCAGTTCTGACTCAGCGACCCTCAGACCCCAAGAAGTGGCTGGTGAGTTTGAACCACCGACATTGCAGTCCGACAGTTTATCCCCCAGTGCCTCACCAGGACTTACTATGTGTAAAGTCACCCATTTTATGTCTATCCAAGAGCAAGTCTGGCTGGTCCAATGGAGCAGGACTCCAAGAGCAGAAGTCTCATTTGCTTTCCTGAGGGTGGGGTGTTTCTGTTTGGGAGTCTAGGAAGCTTCGATAAATCAAGGTGGTGCATGATTGGCTTGCTTCCTTCCAGAGTTGAGAAAACATGAAATTAATCATGGCAATTCTGCCACTGCCTTTTCCAGCTTGTTTTCACACCTTTTCTCATTGCTCTAAATGGTAGTCCTGATGAAACCCACTCACCTTCTTGAACATGTCTGTGCATGACAGGATTTTTATTCACTAAATGCATCCCTAGGTTCTGGTCTTCAGGTCAGCCGTTGGAAGATAGAACAGTGGTGCCGGATGTGTGGGCTGCAGCATCTGCCCGTCTGGGCCTGCAGCCACTTGCCATTTTTCATTCCCTAGCTCCAGTTCCCATGCTGTGGTGCTCCCAGACAGGCACAGTGGATTCAGGGCTTCATGCCAGGGTGAAATTTCAGACTCATGCCAGCTTCTCCCTTGTTGCCAATTTGCATGAGTGCCAACTGCGTCTCCCACCTGCCAATCCCCACCCTGCCTGAAGGAGATTTCACCTCCAGGGACACAGGAACCGGCCAGCCAAGGAATGTGGAAGTAAAACACTAGAGCCAGTGAAGCAGTGCTCAGTACTTCCTGTGACACTTGAAGTACCACTGTTGCTGAGGACATAGCTGAGCAACTGGAACTGGTGGTGGTGTTAAGTACTATCGAAGTCAGTTCCGACTCTACAGGGTTTTGTATTTGGTGGATGTGAACCACCTTTAGGTGCTATGGTTGCTGAGGACATAGCTGAGCAACGGGAACTGTTGGTGGTAGTAGTGTTAAGTACTGTTGAGTCCTGACCCTGTATAGGGTTTTCAAGGAGTGCCTGGTGGATTTGAACCACTGACCTTGTGGCCCAGTGCTTATCCTACGCACCACACCAGGACTCTTAATAGAGGAAGTAGAGATACCTAAGCCAGGACTTTCTTGGAAAATCAACTGGCAAATTCTGTTTCATGTATGGTGAAACCCAGGAGTCCTTCCTTGAAACTGACTGGCAGGCTCATCATGGGGCTCAGTTAAGAACCCAGGGTAAGTAGCCTGAAGAATATATCTCTGGTGCCAGCTCTGCCACGCATTACCTGAACTTGTAACTTCAGCTAAGACTTCTATCTCTCAGTTTCCAACTGTAATGCTATCAGGATAGTATAGTGGTGAGCAAGAGCTGGGTTCTAAATCCTTTGAGACCTTGGCCAATTACTTAATCTCTGGGGCCACTATTGCCTTACTTGTAATAATGCCTACTAAAGATTTCAGTAAGGATTAAA